ATTAAAGTGTTTTATCCTGTCAATTTTATTTAATTAGGGCTTATATTTGCGTGACAGGGTTACACAAATCGCCTAGAATATATGAGGGGTTTACGTCGTATCGGACGACAACCTCGGAACCTAGAACGAGTTAGGGCTTAAATCGTACAGCAGAGCTATACGAATGCCTAAAGAAAGAGGTAGAAGATTTATGTTGCGCTAGGCAAACAACCTCAAAATCCTATGGATTGTTGTTTAATTTCTAGGAAAAGGAATGATTTTGCTGGGGAAGACATGTTATGCTGTTGAAGATAACCGTGCTGCCCACCGTGCTAGCTCCAAATTCATTGCCATGACGAGTTTAAGTTTTCTAGGGTGTCCAGTTATAGTGTTAAATCAAACGGTCATATGGTTGTAGTCCTCTAAACATCCTATACAAAAGAAAGCATGCTTGAAGTTATATAACGTAAAGTGTGCAACGCAGGAACAAACAATAGAATGCAAGTGGAACAGGAGCAGGCAAAAACAGGAGCAGTATAACATGTTATACAAGAAGAACAGTAGCAAGTAGAAACAGGACAAGTGTAACATCTTTTATAGTACGGTAGCAGGTAGAAACAGAAATGGTATAACATGCTGTATAAAAAGAGCAGTAGCAAGAGCAGTAGCAGGTAGATAGCAGGTAGAAACAGGAAAATTAATTGCTGTAAAAATGTAAAACAAACATTTACGCCCGTGAGATCCGCTGTTCCTTAAGTATAGCAAACCTAAATGCATTTCAAAAAGCAAAGTCCGAAAAAACGTCGTCCAGGAAATCCGAGGAAAAGCGGAGAAACTCGAGAAAAATCAACGAAAAAGACTCAAGCAAAAGAAAATCCTCAAAACTCCTGGGGAAATCCCGAAAGAAAGAAAAAGTAACACGAGTGCTCTGTCCCAAAGCTTCGATAAAACAAAGAAACAAAATTCGGATGGGGGGACCGCAAGCACTCGTATGGGGCTAGGCTCAGCTATATATTTATTCTCGAGGGTCCACGAAGGCTACTCGGTCACCCCAATGTATAGAACCCGCCACTCGTCTAGAAGGGTGTCTTGAACCTCACTTAGGGGTTATTTCTCAGCCTAAACAGGTATTCGTCAGGTGGACAACCAACTTTAAAACGTATTTTAAAATTTATGTTTTTGACATGCACACAAATTTTAAACATGCAAAGAAGAGTTATCAATTTTGTTTTGTATAAAGGTAATATTTTTGTTTGAAAATGGTTTATCAAAACTTATATTTTTTTTTAGAATTTTTTGTTGTCCACGGGTCGATTACGCTACCAGGCATAGGACTGCCAACAACCTGAGGAGGTTCGAGCCAACTCCCGCTAGACTCATGTCGGTGAAGGATACCATATCCTATTGTCCATCAAATGCTTGGATCTTGATGTTATAAGATAGGACATCTTTTTGCTCTATCTTCGGTGTGCATTTATCATCAACACCGTACGCCCCAAAATGACTACTTGCGACCTTGCTTGATGGTTTCACATATAGCAAAAGGCTATACGTGGACACTTATGCATCGG